GATGTCCTGCATTGTTCTTGGGGAACACTTTAGGAAGAGCACACTCTTCTCCATTGAACAACACTCTCGTTGGGAACCCTTGACCCGCTTTGATATCGATATTATGATAGTGCTTCTTCTTGAACGAAATCACCGATTGCTGCTTCCCGGGGATCATCGGATTCTTTTTCGGATCCGTCCCGTTTTTTATCGCCACCAAGTAGTTCAAACCCTTGAGCCCTGTGAACAAGATTGTGTTGTTGACGTCCTTTTCCATCCTCGTCCCGTTGAAGGAGTAGACGTTTTCGTAGTCCTGGTAGGCCTTGTTCATCTTCACCGCGGTGTACCAATCTTGAAACTGGTCGGTTCCCCAGTTGAAGAGAGTGAGCCTGGCGGTCCACCCGTTGCTGTAATCAGAGTCGATGTGCCAGTTCAAGCTGACACCGCAGTTGTCAGGGCACGGAAGCTTTTTAGGCACGTCGTAGTGCTTGATTTTGGCCCATGCTTTTGCCTTCTCGGTTCTGTTTGCGAATGGCACGAGGAGAGCTTCGGCAGGCAAAAGCATGGCGGGAGCCTTAGGGTTACATTTGTCCGTCTCAGATGTTTTGCACCCGCACGCGCACGTGCTGCATGGAACCACAGAGGTGCTGTAATAGGCCGAAAACGAGACGCAGCATCTGGGGACCGGGGTTTTGGTGATGTTGCACACCACTTGCCAGCTGGCAATGGCGTCTGACGTGGCCTGGAGCCCACTTGGGTCGGGGAACTGAGTAGGGTCAACCCTAATAGGGGGCCCGCATCTGTAAGTAGGGTTCAGAACGCCACTGATTTTCCACTGCTGAGGTGGAGTTATGGCAGTTCTGTTGTCGTCGGGTGGGATCTTAAACACTTGCAGCTGGAAAATGGACTGGGACTGTGCCTTGTCCATGAGCCTCGGCAAGATGGTCCCGTTGCGGCAGCAGCTGGGCAGTTTGCCGACCTTGGGATCATCCTTTCGCTCGGCTGGGAGGTCGGTGATGACGGGCTTCTTTTCACAGTTCATGACCTGAGAGAAGTCCAAGTCCTTGTAGAATTTTCCGGCTTGGCCGTAGAGGCATGCACTTGTGTCCTTCTTGTGAGTGTAGGCTCCTCTCATGGTGTTGATGAACTCTCCCCTCATCCATTCCCAGGTTAAGTTCCAGTGGTCGAGGCGGCCAAGCGGGTGGACGTTGTCGATGGTGATCTGAGCCAGGTAGTTCATTGTGTAGGTTTGCATTACATCGTATGTGATTGAGAGATCCCCGTTCTGACGTGGCATGAATTTGGTTTTCTCGACTTTCTTCGCCTTGAATTTTGGGTCCTTTTTACAGCATACAGACATTGCAGTCTTCCCTGCATGAGGAAAACAAAAAGGATATGTGTCAATGCATGCATTTGAACCCTTTCAAGGTTCGTATATTAGTATGTTCTTTTTGCCAAAATATTTGATTTGTTATCTTGTCAGATAGTGAATTGGAATAGTGTTAATTCGACATATGATATTGACATTATTAGTCACACGATATCATACACAGGTAGAGCTCGCATGTATTAGAGAGCGTGTCGATGTCAGTTTAATTTATATATACAGTTAAAGAGTTGACCGTATACAATACGACAAGGAAAATAGTAACTAATACATATTTACATAATACAAGTATGAAGAGATTTATGGAATTGAGATCACGGTTTGACAACAGAATCATTGGAAGAATTAGGAACTGAATTGATACTCTTTTCAAGTTTTATATGTCTGATTAATATCATTATTATATCTTGGACTAAAAACCATATACATTTCTTGATGTTCAATCTAATCGATCGTCCTAAAAGATGTAAAGCCCAGAAATAAGAATGCCAATTTGATCAAAATCAAAATATTCAATCTTGAATCTCATAAAATCATATGTTCTGCAAACATACTTCTCAAAATATCACATGTAATGTAATGCATGTTAACCATTATCATTAATAACACAAACAACCTTATCCAATAATTAAGGGTTCTTTGGATATAGGCCCTCCAAACTCCTATTTTCCAAGTAAAAACCCATCTAAATTTAAACATTCAAATAAAATCCAAATTTCAAATAGCCTACCATGTAGACAAATATATGACCAACTATTACAATACAATTACAACTTATGCCATAGAATCCTAATTTGGTCAATAAATGTTATTACTCATCCTAATTATGATGAGCAATTAAATCCATATGGATATTTTACCTTTCTTGTATCATAAATATTAGCAACATATATAAATTAATTTACCAAATTTAAAAGAGAAAGACAATCTTGTACGGAAAAAATAATATTGTTTGAATTATGTAATTACCTACATACAAATTAATTTATCTACTTATAAAATATTATACTAATAAACCTGCATTTTGAATCATGTAATTACCTACATACAAATATTATACTAATTTACCTACATTTAAATTAATCTACCTACTTATAAAATATTATACTAATTTACCTACATTTAAATTAATTTACCTACTTATTAATATTATACTAATTTACCTACATTTAAATTAATTTACCTATTCCAAAAAAAAAAAATAGTGATATTAGATAATGTTCGAATGTTGTGGGTTTGTGCTTGTAGGCAATTAAATAAACTTTTAATCTAATGCACATAAATCATGTAGGTAAATTAGATCGTTTTGAAAGTAAACTGGACCCTTTAAATTTTGGTTTGATGTAATAGGTATAGACTATTTTGTAGGTAAGAATTGTGCGGAACATATAGCTTTTGTTTTGTGTATTAGGGATTGAAATATTAGCCGAAGCTGTTTTAGGTTTATTGTTGTGTTGGTAGGTAAATTAACTTATATATGTAATGCACAAAATTATGAAATTAGTATTATTATTTTTCAATTGGCACGTTATAACAATTTGAAAGTTAATACATTGAATATACAATGAATGGCATGAATTATTTTGTAAAATATATAAAATTAATTAAATGGATATAACAAGTAACTGATCCAAAAACCCCATCCAAGTATTAATAGGGGTAGTTTAGGCATTCGAAAAATACACAATTTGAAAAGTCAAACTTAATTAAAGAATTTGTTTAGTTGGAGGCTAGTCAATGGGCTTTATTCAAGAAAACAAAAGAAGATGGGTTTTAGTAGAGGAAAATATAGTTTCAAGGGGTAATATCAAATTTTCAGAATAATTAATTAACTAATTACCTTTAAATTTAGCAGCAGGGCATTTGAAGCCATCATTGACAATGGAGATGGTCTTGGGCATCGGAGTAGACTTCTCTCCCATCCCAAACTGCGTCCCTTTGAACGCAATCTTAGCCTGAATCTGGGTATAATCTCCGGCGGTATCAATCATAGTTTTCAAATCTGTCATTGGATACCCGGCAAAGTATGCCCCTTTGGTTCCAACATCGACGGGCAAATCACCACCGTCAACCATCTGAGCTCCTTCCGCGGCCACCAAGATCTCCCGATGCTGAAACCCTATGTACATCTTCCACGCCTTGAGCTCGGTCGACCCGGCGTTCAAGATCGTCGCCTCTGACTTGAAGGCCCAAGCCTGTGCCGACACATTTTTCGTATGCGGCAACTCCTTCTCCCTGGAGGTAAACGTGTACGACAAGAAAATGCCGTCACAGTCTTCTTGCTCGGGAGGAGGAGCTGCCACAACAGCATCTTCGTCTTGTCCGTAACAAATCTCAACCCTAAAACACGAAAACACCAAAAACACCACGAGCATTGCATGAAGAAAGAACGCGCGGGACGTCCAGGGTATTCTCATGACCATATTACTAGTTTCCATCATTGCTTTTTACAATAACGTGGAGCGAGCTTTGAGGTTTCAAATCTTTTCTTTTTGTTTTTGTCTATTTTTCGAGGTTGAGGGTTGTTTCGTGTGTCGCTTGGAAGAGAGACAGAGAGAAAGAGAGAGAGAGATCTATTGAACGGTAGGCGGCCGCGCGAGGACGCGGCGAGTGAGAGATGCTATGAGGCCCTGGGAGGACTGTGTAAACCCCAGGGTAGAGAGAGATGGCTAGGTATAAAGAAGAGGAGCGACATTAAAAGACTGGGTCAAGCTCTATTTTCTTCCGCTAGTTTTAGCGGCAGGTTCGGAACGTTGTCCATGAAACCGATACTGTTTGTTTTCTGGTCGACATTGTACGGAAATATATCTGTTACACACGCTGTAAATAGATTTCGGTATGATAAACTACGCCGTTTCTGAGCTTTTCTTCTCTCTTCTTGTTTTCGGACCAAAACCACCGAAAAAAGTTGCTGTGATCACCTTCTAATTAACCGTTTTGAGCTGGCAAAAACTGCATGTCACATAACTTGCATTGGACCAATCATGTTTTTATTTTTAGTACTCACAAAGTTCAAGTACTAAAATAAAAAAAAAATTAAAAAAAATGGCATGAAAATGTGAGAGTCGAATCTGTGTTGGATATCACTAAGTGATGTGCTGCACAAAGGGATTGGCATGAAAAATTAGTAGCTATGGGTATCCTAGCTAGGTTTATTTTGTTTAAGGATTTTAGCCAAAATGTTTTTTAAGATTGACATGACTCTTCACTTTGATCATTGATAATGAAAGTCAATACAAATGGTCCTTGAGTTTGTCTACCGTACATCATTTTGATCATTCTGTAAAAAATCTGTTCAATATTCTCGTTAAGTGGAGATGTTGGTTTGACAAAAATACTCTTTAGAAAGGTGAACACGTAGTCGTTTACGTGACAATTTAATGAGAATATTGACAACTTTTTTCGCAAAATGATCAAAATGATTTACGGTGAACAAACTCAAAAACCGCTTTTATCGATTATTATTGTCAATACCAAAGTAAGGAAATCCAATCTCAAAGATCATTTTAGCTAAAAAATCGGTTCTATCTTCTTCCTTACTTTTTCAGTATTTTAATTACCCTTTATTACTTCTATAATGGATATAATTACGTCAATGACTTGTAGCTCAAGTAGTTTAAAGTACTCGCTTTCCATAAAGAGTACCCCTATATTTTCATATAATTTTAATTGAATTGCTTTCTTCCACGTCTATTCGCAGCAGAGTCACCATTTGTTCAAGAAGTTAGCTCCTCGTTAATACTTGGGAACTAGGGTATCCAGTCAGTACAATAAACACGGCAACACAGCTATAACCGAAGATAATATCAAAACGCTAATTAAGAAACCTACCCCTACAATCTCTTATAGTTACATATCCTGTTAATTCAGTGTGCACGATTTTCATTACTTTAACCAAATCAAGCGACAGTTATCTCCGCCCCGCCGCTGATTTCTTCAACAAACTGCGCTTTTGGCTCCAAGTCTATGAACTGGTTGGACTTGCTAGCAAGATGCGAAATGCTTACCCTTCCCAGACGCTTAATGTAGTCTGCTACAGCTTGCATCTCCTCTTGGGAGATGTATATGCATTTCCCCCTGTCATCCATGACGCCAGAAAGTCGCCCTAACACAGACAAATACAACATTTTCATTCTCAACGAAAAGGTATTTTACCTTCTGAAGCAAAGGAATGAATTATTCATTAGGTACGACAAGTCAATGAGGAAATAGCTCTGCACATACCCATACTCTCGAGATTGGTAATTCGATTGATGCATTCCTGCATGAACCATCAGTTGCATTGAAAAATTAGTAAGCCAAATCTGGTAAATTAAGTTGACTAATCACTTTTAGAAAATATACTTCCATATGCCTTACTAAATTTCAAATAAAAACTTCATCTGTTAATGCACTTTGAGGTACGAAGAAGACATGAAAATTGTTGATTTATGTGTTACTTCAGGATAAATATAAGTTACCTGAGTCCTTAACTTAAATTCAGCAGCAAGATCTTCCAGAGGAATGCATTTATGTTTCTGCAATGTCAAAATTAACAGTAGTATTAATAACAAAATCACAACTCAACTTGAAAGCCTCATGTCTCGAATAGAAACAAAACGACACAAACAGTTAAAAGATTAATAAACTCTAAACTGGATTGGATAAGTTAGAAACTACAACCCAACCTTAAACCCCCAAAACTTAGAAGCTCCTTTTCATCCCTAGTTTTTGTGCAACCCGATGGCGATGGAGATATTAGGGAGCTAGAGTATAGAACAATATCTTTGAATGAATTAACTGAACTCTACCTTTATGTATTCCACAAAATCAGAAAGCAAATCCTGACGTCCATCCTGCACTTCATTCTCGGTCGTACCTTCAGCATCTATTGAAAACTCGCCTTTCCACTTCTCAAACTCTAAAGCAGCAGCTTCCTCCGCCCTAGCCTTTTGCGCTTTGGCTTCTTCCTCCTACAAAACAGTGGCCAAATCTTCAGGCAGTAACTTAACAACACAAAAATACACATCCTAATTTTCCAAAACAGAAACAAAAGAGAGACGTCAACGCACCAGCTGACGCTCCTGTGCTTCACGCTCCTCATCTTTCCTCCTCCGCATTTCAGCATAGCGGTCTTGTTTTGTTACCCTAGATTCACGTGCAGCTTGTTCAGCCTTCAAATAAAGAATGGACTCAAGTAAATAATTAGTTGTGCTTCAATTGAAGGGAAAAGGAAGAAAATAATATAAAAGCAGTACAAGTAAACCATAATCAAGGATCCTCCAAGAACATAAGCATAAACTCAATTGAATGTTGCAGTTATTTCCACCATTTGGGTAATTTAAATATATTGAATGATGTAGCAATCAAACTTCTAACATGTCCTACACCTCCGTGACTACATAGAAGTGGTTTATGTCTTTATTACTCAATGTAGATAGTCGGATAATTAGAAACTCACTAAAATTTAAGGCCTGTTGGGTATTCAGGACAGGACAGGACACATTAACTAGAAATTTTAATCAGGACTGGAGAGGGGGAGATAAAGTATGTGCAATCCTTCAAATCAAGAAGTAAAAGAAAGAAAGAATACTTGTCGTTGTGCTTCCCGCTCTTGGCGCTTCTTTTCCCTCTTCTTGGATGCTTTAGCATCATACTCGCCCTCAACATCTTCCTCATCACTTCCCTCAACGGATTCTATATTTAAAAATACATACTATGAGTTCATTTGACAGGATAACACATTTTTCAACTTATTTAATATCATTAGCACTTAAAAAGCTAGCTAGCTAGTGCAAAGGCTCATATACAAAATGTGCATCTATACAAGTCCAAATTTGCACTTCATACGCCGGGTACATTTTCCATACAGAATACCTAATACATCCTTTATTTCCTCAAATTTTGTACCCTCCTCATGAATCCATAAACCTTATGACTCCGTCTCTGTAAATAATCATCGGTCTACCCCAACAGATCAAACCGTGTAAACTATCATCCCCGCAAATCCTAATTTGATCAGACCTTTATCTCTCACGGATACGGTTACTTATATTTTTGTTCCTGACTATCTCACCACTGCTTACCAATTGATATCTATTTCAATCACAATTCAATCAATTACAATCGCTTCTCGAATCAAAGAGAAACGAACATCACAACACCGCAGAGTCACAATTACTCATGAACTTAATCCAATCTTTTCCTAATATAAAATCAAATTTAGTCACTTCAAAGTAAAACACAAACCTTCTACACCTGGTGCAGCAGCAGCTGCTGATGTGCTTGCTCCAGAAGCCGGCCTCCTACGCATCCAGCGACCGCCAGGCGCACGCAATACCGCCTCCCTCTGAGCAACCTAAACCAATATAAACAAATCCAGAAAAAATCTATATAACAAATAAAATAAAAATTACAAAACTGAAAACAATTACGCTGCAAAAGAATTAGGGCTCAAAAATCAAACCTGAGGTTCTCCTTCGTGTTCATGCGGCGATCGAGAATCTTGACGGCGTTTCCATAGAAATAGTGGAATCAATCCCAAAACAAGAAGCATGGAAAGAAAAATTGCCAACATTTCCTCCATATTTTCTCAATCTCAGGCCCGGCCACCAAAATTTGATGTTTATTTTCTTTCTCTCGATTGGTCTCTATTTTCTTAGGAATTCTCGGAAACCAAACAAGGAGTTAGGGTAAGGGGATACCTTGAGAGCGGTTAAGCTTCGGACAATCAATGGAGTCTGGAACGATTTGAATAATGATTACAGGACCTAAATGTAATTACAAATTGGAAAGAATTAGGAATCATTAACCTTAGATTATTTCTTCTGCTGTATAAATCATTCTATTTCTGTAAAGGTTTCTCAGTGGGTCCAGAACACGATATCATGTATCATATGTCATTTTTAAAAAATTTAAAACTTCAAAAATAAAACAATCCTCTACTCATATAATGACACTTGGTTTACTACTCGTGTTCTGTACATAATAAATAATTTCTCGTATTTTTTGTACGAATTTAGCCATTCCACATTTTCACATGGATACATCCAAAAAGAGAAATGCTAATGAGACTCCCTCAAAGTGTTTCTCTGCCCCTCGTAGTTTAACATTGATTTCTATAGCAACATTACAAAACATTGTAATAAAAACATGAGGTGTGAGAGTCCATTGAGAGACCAACTTTTAAGAGAGTATCCTTAGCATTTCTCTTCACACAAATATCACTTTTTTCAAAAATTCAAGTATGTTTAAGTTAATGACACACTCCGATCGGAGTCAAGGCATGCTGGCCGTCACCCGAAGATGACATAGCCAAAAGTGTAAGTGATGTAAAAATGTGAATAAATTAAAACCGAAACTAGAACTTATTTAAACTAATAAAGTGAGTGAGCAGTAGTGGGTAGAATCCATAGAATACAAATGTTCAGAGCATAGATGACAAAATAAAGCAGTCGAAACTAGTTAGGTACTTAATACACAACTGGGAACAGTTCCTACATTTATTAGGCGTATGTCAAAATCGCCGGCTAATCCTCGTATGCCACAAAGTAAATCAGCTATTTAGGACCTAGAGAGGCAAAAAACAGAAGGGTGAGTGGGCAAAAACAAAAGTTTATAAAATCCATTTATTTTCTGAACATACTAACCCGTCACTGTAAAACATGTATAGTTTCCAGAAAATCATACTACGTATATGTATGAAATCAAATGCAAATCAACAGTAAATCCAGAAGTATGCCGCATCACAATATCTCAACAGTAATATAAGTAAAATTAGGTATTCAATCAATCTATACTAGCATACAAGTCGGAGTCGCCTAATGCGACTTGTACGACTAAACTAATGCTCATCAATCTATACTAGCACACGAGTCGGAGTTGCCTAATGCAACATGTACAACAGGAATGGGTGTAATCATAATATACGCTATAATGCTACAATCACGTGAAGACTAGCGCTATTCGGAGTCACCTACAAGTTGGAGTTGCCTAATGCAATCTATACTACAGGACTGGCACTTACTTGGATCCAAGGCGAGCGCGCGGTGTGAAGGTGAACATACACGTGAAAGACTGGCCCTACACTCTGATGTGTGGGGACCTTCCTCTGTTAGTACTACTTCGAGAATTAGGTGGTTTGTTACTTTTGTGGATGATTGCACTTGTATGACGTAGTTGTATATGTTGAAATATAAAAGTGAAGTTTGTGATGTGTTTCGTCTGTTTCAACAGATGATAAAACTCAGTATTCCTCTAATATTAAAGTTTTGCGTTCTGACAATGGTGGAGAGTACATAAATTTTGAGTTATCCCGATTTCTACAAGATCGTGAAATTATTCATCAAACTACATGTTCGCATACTTCGCAACAAAATGGGGTTGCTGAGAGAAAGAATCGTTATATCTTGGAAACTACTTGTGCCTTGCTTATTGGTGCGTCCATGCCTAAACGTTTTTGGCCTGAAGTTGTTACCTATGTTGTGTATGTGATTAACTGCATTCCATCTCGAGTTGTGGACTTCCATACACCTCTTCAAGTATTGACAGAACATGTTCATGTAGTATCCATGAACAACCTCACTCCCCATGTGTTTGGGTGTGTAGCATATGTTCATATTCACAAGATTCATCATAGAAAATTGGATATGTGTGCTCTTTGGTGTGTCTTTGTTAGATTTGCATCTCAACAGAAAGGGTATAAGTGTTATCACCCTAACACTTGCCATATGTATACGACTATAGATGTTACCTTTTCTGAATCCAAGTATTTTTATTCTTCGCTCCCATCACCTTCAGATCCCCAGGGGGAGAACACTAGTTGGGATCAGGGTGATCTTGGATGGTTGGAAATATTAGACAATGGGTCTTGGCAAGAAACTGTTGAAAATGAGATAAATGGGTCTCGGCAAGAAATTGCCGAGTATGTGACAGAGCTTCAGCCGCTACCTGCCGAGACAAGCATAGCATATCGGCAAGGATTTGCAAAGGAATCTGGAACAATCTAGCCACTAGCTGTTGCCAAACCTACAACCCCTTCTCTCTTGAGCTCGATGGTGCCACCCGATGTGTCTTCTCTGAATATCCTTGAGGTAAGTACCACCAATGCTCATGTAACTGATCTCAATAATGCTATGGGTACATATAAGTTGCCGCTAAGGCAAAATCGTGGTGTTCCTCCTAACAGGTTTTCTCCCGAAGGAAGAGTGAGGTATCCAATAGCAAATTATGTGTCATGCAAGAATCTTGCACCGAAACGTCAAGCATGGGTGAATAATGTGGAAGCAATCCAAGTATTAACCCGAGTTAAGGAGGCCTTGAAGGATCCTAAATTGGCTGCTGCAATGGATGAACAAATGATAGCATTACATAAAAATGATACATGGGAGGTAATGGAACTGCCAAAGGGAAAAAAACCGGTTGAGTGTAGATGGGTCTTTACAATTAAGTACAAGGCCGATGGATCAATAAACAGGTATAAAGCAAGGTTAGTAGCAAAATGATATACTCAAATGTATGGTATTGATTACCAGGAAACTTTTTCACCAGTAGCCAAGATGAATACGGTACGTGTTCTTATTTTTTTAACTGCAAATTTGAATTGGTCACTGAAACAATTTGATGTAAGAAATGTTTTTTTTCATGGGCATTTGGAAGAAGAAGTATACATGGATTTTCCTCCGGGGTATAATGCCGGAGGGAAAACGGAGTATGTAGGTAGCAAAAGTCACTCTATGGGCTGAAGCAATCACCGTTTGCATGGTTTAGTAGATTTACTCGAGTTGTGAGGAGGATTGGATATTACCAAAGTCACTCCGACCATACATTGTTTCTAAAACAGATGAGTGGTAAAGTGACAACCTTAATTATTTATGTAGATGACATGATAATAACAGTTGATGATTCAGAAGAGATGATGAAACTAGAACAGAGTCTTGCCGCCAAATTTGAGATGAAGAATTTGGCAGATTTAAAGTATTACCTTGGAGTAGAAGTAGGTCATTTGTGTAGAGGTATCTTCTTGTCTCAACGAAAATATGTTCTAGATTTATTAAAAGAGACATGCATGCTTGGATGTAAACCTGTGGATACTCCTATTATAGAGAAGCTTTATTTGAGACTTTATCCCAATTAGAAACTGGTTGACAAAGGTAGATATCAGAGACTGGTAGGGAGACTAATTTATTTGTCTCACACTCGTCTGGATATTGCTTATGCAGTGAGTGTGGTTAGTCAGTTTATGCACTCATCAAGTGTGGATAATATGGCAGCAGTGATGAGAATTTTGGCATATTTAAAGTCTGCCCCGGGAAAAGAGATTTTGTATAAGCACCATAGGCATATGAGGATTGAAAGATTTACTGATGCTGATTGGGCAGGTGATGTGACTGATAAACGGTCTACGTCCAAATATTTACATTCGTTGGAGGTAATTTAGTTACTTGGCGAAGCAAGAAACAAAAAGTGGTGTCACGATCTTTTGCCGAAGGTCGAGTATAGGGGTATGGCACATGGTGTGTGTGAGATCCTTTAACTACGAAAGTTGCTTTGGGGTCTTGGTTTCAAACAGGAAGATGCGATGAAATTGTATTGATATAATAAGTCAGCAAGAGAGATAGCTGAGAATCCAGTGCAGTATGATAGGACGAAGCATGTGGAGGTTGATCGACATTTCATTAAAGAGAAGCTCAAAAAGAAGATTGTAGCAATTCCGTTTGTGAATTCAGAAGAGCAACTTGCATATGTTCTTACTCATGTTGTGTGTAGTAGAAATTTTGATAACTCACTTATCAAATTGAACATGTGTAATATCTATACACCAACTTGAAGGGGAGTATTGAGTGAGTTAGTATGTAGAAAGAAAATGTAAATATGTGTAATTATTAAAGTCATGTTTAAAGAACGTTATTCTAGTGCTTTATTGTATTTCCTTATGTAACAAGGATTGTATGTACTTATATTGAGAATTATAGAATACATGAAAATTACCCCGTAAAATTCTATTTTTCCAACAGAGCCTGAGCCAAACATCCAACACAGAGAGACATAATCCATCCGTCCACATTATTATCAAAACTCACATAGGTCCCAAACCACATCAAATATCCACAATAACCATCACTTAGCTACCATAAAAAATCGCTCACTCCTCAACCGCGCTATTATTTTCGACTCGAAACTGGTTTTTTCCTTGTTTATTAACATATAACGCAACAATTAAGCCTCGGCGATCTCAGCGGATTCTGCAGCAGCTAGGATCAGCTCAGGCTGGATGCCTCCGACGTATGATCCATCCAAAGCGTTGGGGAGTCCCAGTGCCTTTAATGCCAAGTGAGCTGCCTTTTGCCCTGAGATCATCATGGCTCCGAATGTAGGTCCCTGCATCCCCAATAATGTAAGAATCATATTAATAGGACCACATTTATATAATTAAGTAATCGACGAAACCCAAATACAAAGTGTAAATATATAAAGTGGGAATCTTATTTGGACCCCATAAAAATCAAGTAATGGTACTATTCCAAATATAAAGAACAAGGAAAGAATGGAAGAGCTTTTGGACCATGTTCATTTGAATGAACAATCACCATGTATGGATTGAGGCTAAGGTAATTGTCGTCGTCCGACACAGTTTTTCTCTCGTAATCAAACGCGGAGAGGAGAGGAAAAGGACAGTGGTAAAGGTTTCCCAGTAGAGGCCATTGTCAATTTCCATACCAATGCGCTAGTGTAAACATTTTAGTGTTGAAGTCTATCTACACTATGCATTTACATGTCGAAATTCGATAAAATCAACCATTGTAGTCCTTAATGTTTTACGTAAACCGTCTAAGCCCACCACCACAATCACCATTTTGATGAAATGTGGCTGCGATGGCTTGGAGTAGTTGGATAAGACTCCAAGGACGATATAGTCAAATGAACAGTAAATAAATCAAGAACAAATCAAACGTGACAGAAATGTACCATTCTTGGGGATCCATCAATCTCAGCAACTTCCATGCCGGTGACGATCATTCCTGGCACAATTTCCCTTGTGAGCTTCACGATAGCATCCTCAGCTGCGTTCATGTCCAAGGCCTTCATCCCGGGCACGCTCTCAATCATCCCAACGCTCCTCAACCTCTTGACGCCGGTGGCTCCCATGGGTCCGTCGTGACCACATGAGCTCACCACAACCTTGGCCTCCATGACGTTGGGGTCCATGCACGACTGTGTGTCGTGGTTCATTGAGACCAAGGCCCAGTTGGTGACCACGCCACCAACTCTGCCACCCTTAATGATCAAGTCCTCTGCAGCCACAGCGTTGAAGAGCTTCACGTTGGGCCGGGCAAGGAGCTTGCTCATGATGGTGGAGGTGAATAGGGCGGCGTGCTTGATGACAACGTAGTTGTCTTGCTCATCGTAGTCAATGCCGAGCTCGTTAAGGAAGAGATGGGCGGGTTTGCGCACAACCTATATATGTCAACATATAAATTAGATCTAAGTACTACAAAATACAAGACAAAATATTTTCAAGTTAGAACATTAAAATATTTTCGAAATTTATATTGCTTTCCAAATTACAAGATAAAATGTTCTAGTGAGAAATGAACGCTATGAAAATTAAAAGTACAATTTGTATTTCAAAAACCAAATATACCGACAACCCCATTTAACGGAATAAGACTTGGTTGCGATTGTTGTAATGTTAACCAAATAGCGGGATAATCTGGCTTCCATGAATTTCACCATAATCAAAGCAATCTAATTGTGATTAATTAGTGCACAAATGAAATCTATATATATATATATATATATTGTATATTTGGAATTAATTAATAAGGAATTACTTTTCTACAAAATTTACAAAATTTGTTTGATTTTCGAATGAAAATACAACAATATCAAACTATTTAATTAATTACAAAAAATAGAAATAAAGAAATAAATTACAAAAAATAAATTAACAAATATTTATGCAAATGAAAACAGATATGCACAATGACATAGGTCAAATTATCCAAACAAGACGGGGCAAGGCGACACGTGTCACAGTCGCACGTTACATTTATTTTACCGAGAAACATGAATTTCAAATTAACAAACAATTCCCCAGAAAAAGCCCAAAAATTAAGTACCCGGGAAACCTTAATACGACCAAAAATGATAATTAAACAACAACAAATCAATAATTTAAGTTTCAAATAATTAATAATTTTCAAAAAATATTAAAATTAATCATAAATGACAGTAATTACCATGGCAGAGAAGAGCTGGCCACCGAGCCATGCACCTCCGCCGGGGCTGACGGACTGCTCGATGATGGCCACCTGAACGTCGGGGTTCTTGCTGAGTTCGTAGGCGCAGGATAGCCCGGCGGAGCCAGCACCGACGACAACGACGTCTGTGTCGGCGTAGGTGATCATGTCAGTCATGTAGCGCCTGGTCATCTCCCGGGAGACGATGGATTCCTTGATGGGGTCGAACTTGAAAGCGCTCAAATCGTAGGAGGGGGTCAAGCCGTTGGCAGACATGGAGACGGAGAGGCCGCCGTTGTTGGCGGGGGCCGCCTTGGCCGGCTGAAGGCGGACCATGGGAGCGCCATGGAAAGAGGAGTCGAGGAGGGAGGACTTCTGGAGCTTGGCGGTGAGGGAGGAGGAGGTGAGGGTGGAAGCCATGGTTGCCATTGATTGATGCGAGAGAAAGAGAGAGAGAAGATGATAAGATGGGGTGATTTGGGGGTTTAGCGTTTGCAAGTCAGAAGATGGAAGTGAGGAGAGTGGTTATTTAACGAGGAGGAGGGTGACATATATGTAAAATTAAAGATGGACACGTGGGAAGAGGATAGGATATGAAGGGTCTAGAACCTCTTGGGAGGTCCAAGTGGCAAGCATGAACCAGTCTCCAGTGTGTGTTTGTGTGTGAGGAGAGTGAATAGAGAGGGAAATGTTAGAGAGACCGAGTTTACAAGGAAAATGATAAGGAGATTATTTTAAATGTGACTTTCTATGAACTTTTCACTATTTTATGTTTTTTATACAATTCTTGTGTTACCGTTATAAAATTTTGTGTCAAGAATATGGGGTGACGAAGAGTCTTAGTACTGGTTTGGTATTGAGGTGTTTTTATAAAAAGTAGGAACCAAAAAAAGCTGAGCTCAAAAAGATGTTTGGTAAACACTTAAAAACAGTTTATTTTCATAGTTTTTTGGTGAAAAAAATAAAAAACCTAAAAACGTGAAGCAGCAAAAATGAGCTTTGAAAAAAAGCTGAAAGCGTGAAGCAACATAAATGTTGGATTATATGTTGAATGTTGGATTATGATTTCTTGTTAAATGTTAGATTATATGTTTAAGATAAAATTTATAAATACTTTTGTTTTAAAAATAAAGTATATTTAGTAATTCACCTTTATTTGTTAAGAAAATTAAATTAATGACACATCTAGTATTATACCTTTTTTTGATCATTTTACAAAATCACAATTGTTTTACATAAAAGTTTACAAAACACTATAATACTGATTTTTTTTTTTTTTTCCAAAAGCACTTTTACAAAAAAAGTTTACCAAACGCTCTGCTACTTTATTTCACAGTTGCTTATTCTCACAGCACAGCAGAAGCAGTTTTGTTTTCAAAGCACAGCAATACCAAACCAGCCCTTACTTTGAGCGAGATAGTCTCCTTAGCATTTCTCAATTTGTAAACCAAATGATGAGATTGTTGATGATTAGTTCATTACTCAAGTGTTGATTAACATGGTTATTTTCTATTGATTATAAACTTAATTTAAAAATGATCCAACTGAACAGATATTCATTTCAGAAATGAATATATTGGGCTCTCACTGTTTACTGTTTAGCCATATAAAGTCGGCAACATTTAAAGAAAATCAACATTCTTACCTAAAAAAGTGGTATGAGAAATACTTGGTTTTCACTCACTACTTGTGAGATCTTTTTCATATGTGGATGGGGGGCTGCATTTGATACTATAATGAGGTTTTTGTCCTTGTCATTGAGACGGAAAGACGTAATATATTTACCTTTCTTGTTTGGATGCGAAACAACTTTTCTAATTGCATTTTCTTCTGCGAGCAAGCCAATTGCATATATCATAAAATATCTAAATTAAGCGTCTTGTTTGGACCCCTTTTTTTTTTTTTTAGTGTTATACTTTCTTGTTTTATTTCTAGGTTTAGGGTTTTGTTTGTGAAGAAGGTTGAGGTTTCAATGTAGAATTCATTCTCAACAGTTTGGACTCGATTTTTTTATATTGTCGGTTCGTATGTTTGGAGCTGTTAAGTTGAAAGAAGATCAAGATAATTTTCAATCATTTTTTTAGATACGATTGTGGTTTTAATAGTCATGGTATTGTCTGAAAATTATTGGCAATTATCTTGAAAATGCAAGGATATTTAAAGAGGCTGGAAGATCGAAATGGCATGGGGTTTCAGAATATCAGGGTAAAACTTGACTAGCCATGGGGAAATTATCTTGATAGTTTGATAGCAAACTGTCAAGAAAATGTGATTAGCTTGTAGGTTTGTACGTCGATATCATAGCAAATTGCATTAAGAAAATTTTAAAAGTTGAATTGGCTAATCAAAGATGTGATAAAAGATGGCAAAATAATGACCACATCACTTCCGTGGTGATTTTGCACGCTGCTTGTTCCAATAGCATCAATTGCGTGCTTGTAATTATCATATGGTATCAAGTTTCTCAGCCCGGTTTAGGAGTCTTGACAGTCTGATTGATTAAACAAAAAGTTTCCTAAGTTCGACCGGCTATCTATCCCAATTCTTTGCCGGCAAACACATGGGTCATGGAGGAGGTGCTTTGTTGTAGAAACTGCGCTGATTCGGGAAAGAGAGGAATCCGTAGGATGAGGAGGAGGCGGAGGTACAAGGGTACAAGGAGAGGATGGGGGCGGAGAAGGGAGGAGATGCGGTGGGGGTGTAGGGCCCAAATCCATTTTTTTATTTTATAATATTTTTTATTTGGTTTAAAATAAATAACTTTTTATGGGAAGTGTTATTATCACTTCAAAAATCTCATTCTACATATTTTTCTTTTCTAATATAGAAAGTTTGAAGTGTAGAATGAAATTTTTAGAGTGCTAATAATAATTCCTTTTTTTATTAGTTTTTCATTCACGTGGTTAAAACTTGACATCCATATCAACCAAAATATAGCCCTACATTTGCCACGTCATCATTTAGTAATCAAACTAACAAAAAATTTAACGAGGATTTGACATTACAATGAATTCACAAGTTGATGCATGACATTGCAATGTTTAAAATATAAGATATGAGTTTGTCATATGACTCAAAATATAGGTGATAAAATGTAATTTACCATTTTTATTTGTTTTTAATCAAATCTTTGTAAAAATACACTAAATAGGTTGCTGTATGGTAAATTCATGCTCAATGCCTAGAGACATCCTCCAAAAAAATTAATTTGGATTGTTTATGCAACTAAAACTAAGGAACTTCAGGCCTTCAATCATGTAAAATCGAAGAGCCATAGGCTCATGTTTTGATATAATAATTTGTTCTTTATGATGTACAATTTCATTCTTACTTACGAGTTACTAGACAAAATAATTTCTTAATGGTATTGGAAAAACCTCGAGGTGTAGCGTATCCTCTAAGTTCAAGGATATGAATGTGTCTACGATTTTGATATTGCCACGTCATCATTTAGCAGTTAGAAAATTTAACGAGAATCTGACAAAATACAGCATTTTATCTCGTTTCTAGAATTGTTTTAATTTTATTTTGGCCCTGATAAAGAGTATGCAAGTGAAATCTAGGTAAAAGCGTAATACTTTCATAGACATTGAAATTAAGACAGCCACAAGTTGTCATACGCTCCATAAGTCACCCACATCACACAGTTTATCGAAACTTAATAGACACCGGAAACACAATCCACATAGCAGACTGGCTTATAGATGATACAACATTCAGATAACAAACTTCTCAACTGAGGGTTCAGAACTTCAGAGAGACGCATTATGCAGAGGCCGATGTTACTGCAAGTTGCAACGGCTCAGAAACCGTGAATTTTGATATTGTCTTTCTTCACAATCCCGGCCTGTATAAAACAAAAATGTGAATCAGGACCAGACTCCTCCAAATTGGCTCTGTAAGACCATCTAATGGAATAATCAAGGAAGCAACTTTGACAGTTTTATAATACATGTACAACATTAACGTCATCAAACCATTCTGTGAACTACCTGGACTAGAAAGGTAGATACGTTCTTTCGCTGATCACCTTGAAGCTGAATGACCTACAGACAAACAGCAATACAACAATTAGGGGCTGTATTAGAAACTATATTATAGATTTTACTGTTAAGCACGCACCTGTCCTAGTTCTGGGTCCTGGACAACGGTACCATTGCAGCAAAATTCCTTCTTAAGGTCTTTGAGTATCTTGTTGTAGCTAAACTCTTTCTTCAATCCCTGCACAGTAGTCAGGCTTTTCCTGCCATTGCGTTGCTGTACACGGATGTGTACATACTCTTTTGTCCCAGCACCCGAATCCTCAGCAGTTGCCTCGGCAAAGGGATCTGAACCCAAGAAACAGCAATTCAATTAGATAAATGGAGGGACACATAAGAAGGGATGAAAAACAAGCAAGGCCACAATCAATTGTCATATCTCAGAAGATCATAAAAATTTAAAGCACTAATCCAATGTTCAAATAGTGAAAACAAAAACCTAATGTGAGGATGTCATGAAAAATAGCCTTTCATACTCCAGCCCCCTTATGCAAAATTAGACAAACAAGCAGCAGACATTTTTTTCCACGGTCTTAACAAAATTTTCTATACTCTCGTTTCGCACTCTGAAGGATCAATAAATCAGAATTTTTTACTTTCCAACTATGTATAAGCACAGAAAAACTCATCAGCAATCAAGAGAACTGAAGGGACACGTACAAAGCAGTGAAATTTTTTAGTTTTGAGCATATTTCAGATTCCCAAGAATGATATGCTCTCCCACTTTACGTATAATTATTTAGAAAATATCAAACAACTAGACACAAATCTATATACCTTGCAGTAAAAAGCCCACTAAATTATAATGGAGTAGCCTAGCTACCATCACATTTCATAAGTTTTTAGGAAAAGAGATGTAATCTATCCTAGTGAATTTGGATTTGATGCACAAGATCGTCTCTGCTGTGCTTATATTATATAAAAATGAAAATGACTTCCAATCGTCTCTGCTCTGCTGTGCTCAGTAGATAAGAAGCTAAGAAGCAACAGTAATCCATAACTTAAATGCCTACAGTTCAAATCCCCACACTCACAACCCTATATTTTGACCAGTACATATACATATTGGTCCAGGTCGGTTAAATCAGATCTTAAAGACCACGATCCAAACAACTGAACCAACGCCTTCCGAAAGAATTGTAACCAAATCAAACCATGTAGGTTATCAAAAATGACCAGATAATCAGTTTAGCTTGGTTTCTTGAGTAAATCATGTTGGTCAGATTGCTGAATTACACTAGTTGACACTATCTCTTGATAAACAACAACAAACCAATTTCTCAAACTCCACGTCTACTAAATTGCAACAGTACTGAATATCAGTGACTAAAAATGCTCTCGAGCATATAGGTACCGAGTTTTTCAACCAGTCAAACGTCCTGGACCTATTGACCAACCTATCCAACTGGATTCGAATACAGGTGCACACAAGCATGCGTTCAAGCACATAAACACACACAAATGAGTTACGAATTAGCCCTAAACATACCAAAGGCAGTGGGAAGCTGTACGTCGATATCAGACATGAAACTTAGCTGATTCAACTAAGCGGCCCTGCTAACCGGAATGCTCAGACCTGGATCACATTAAACAAAAAAAATATAAATCTTCATGTCCTCCATCACATATAATCAAGATAATAACACATAAAAAGAACAGATCACATAATCGAAAAGAATTTTCGCAACTCATCCGGAATAATCAATTGCGTAATCACAAGGGAGTAAACAAAATCTATATCGAATCAATTGCAATCTCACCCTCGGAAAAACTAATTGACACCCAAAAACAAAGAGGGTTCGAAAAAAGCACCAAACTTTTCGGCTACATCTAATCAAACATGAAAATAATATATTTTTCAAGTACTTTCCTGGAAAAATTAAAAATGACCACCAAAAAGAACTTAATTCCCAGTTTTTTTTCCAGAGCGTCCTGTAAGTAATAAAAATTAATTTAATTCTACCTCTCAGAATAATATCAATTTTAAAAAAATAAAAAAAAATAAAAGATTTCCAATTTATACAAAACCCCTAAAATTCGGACCAGAAATTAAACCATAAAAAACCCTAGAACAAAGACGAACAGAAATCGGTAAGGGGATCGAAGAACGAATTACCTGATCTGATAATTAGGGTTTTGGAATTGGCGAGTCGTATCGAGAAAAAAACCCTAACCCCAAATATCAGATGAGCCTGAGCGAGTTCTCTCGACCGCGTTTAATAGATAGCTGTTTGGGAAGACGGAAAAAGTGAATAGAAAATTGGGGCTTTAAGATAGATATTTATTGAATAAACAAACAAATAATCATCATTAAATAAACTTAAAAATGCCTGCAAGGGGGAGACTGGCTTTGGTCATTTGCACGCGCAGGGGTTTTCATTAGATATCCACGCGCTGATGAGAGCACTAGTTTTGGGTTTGGTTAATTTGAGTGACAGCTGTGGGTAGCTGGGAGCGAGTAGAAGTTGAAACAGAAAAACAATGTCTGGCTTTCTGAGTTGGTAAGTCGGTCTAATGACCTTGTCCATTCTGGGCAATAAACGGCACCGTCTGCAATTGACGTCCGCGTGAAGGGCAAAATATAGGAGTTGCTAAGAGTAAAATTCGGGAAAAAGAGCCGGTTGTATGGAAATACTTCAGGAAGTTATGAAAGGGTCTTCTCAAAAATTTCATTTAGATTTAATTAAGTTAATATTACAATTTAGTCATATTTTTGTGTTATTAAAAAAATGAAAAGTCTCGTTCTTGATACATCAAAAGATATGTATAAAAATTAAATACCCATTCCTTTAGACTAGAAAATCTCAAATTTCGTTGTGTAAAATATAGTTATAGAGAGAAAAAATCACACTCGTATTTATTTATTTATTTATTTTTGTTTCATCAATTGAGAATTTACAATTTAGGGTAAATCAAACCCAAAATTATCTTCAAAGCCACTTAATACAATTTAGGGTAAACTCCGCATTAGTAAAACACTTATTATCAAACAAAAACTAATAAAATTATTACTATACCCTCTAATACAAAACGGAAAGAAGATATTAGAAAATAAAACAATGTGAGCATTAAAGTAATTTTGTACAAACAAGTTTTTACTGTTTTTTTTTTTTCTAAACTCCACAACTATGTCACTTTATCAATACTCTCTCAACTCATTTTCTCTCTTTCTCTCTCTCTTTCCTAACTTTCAACCCATATTTTTTTTTTGGGATGTCTGCCAACCTGTTAAAAACAAATAATTGCTCTTTTAAAAAAATTAAAAAAATAAATTTTAAAAAAATATATTTCTCAATACAAAGTGTGTTACCTTTGCTAGTACTTTATAAAGGCCACATGTACAATCGGTTTAAGTTCACTAATCTTGTGCCTAAATTGGAGGAGATAATCAAGTTGGATATTAAACTCTGTGTTTATCTTTTTTCCTCACCACACTCTTCCTATTTTCCTCCTTCAATAGTATGTAGTGTCGTAATAAATATTTTGTTTGGTACATCAAGTGTCATAATACAAGTGAGACATCTTTTTTATTTTTTTTTATTTTTATCAAACAATATTATCTACAGTAACGAGTAGAAGAGTAGGCTTAACCCCACAACAGGCTAGCAATAATGTGATTCAAATTCGCGTTTGACGAGAATCGAACCTAATGTCTCTCACTTACAAGTAAAGATTAATAACATGGAACATAGTACTAAGTGGCTTAAGTGAGACATCTAACATGTGTGTTTCAAAAGTTCTTTTCTTTCTTTTTCTATATGACTGTACGTCTTGTAACCATGAAGTCAGTCACAAATACATTTTATTGTACCAAAAAAAAAAAAAAAAGGGTAAATTACATAAAACTACCTCAACTATTGAGTCATTAACAGTTTCATACCTCTTCTTTAAAAAGTTTCAATGTCATACCTTATCTTTGAATTTGTTGTAATGTTATACCTGCCTTCTGTCAGTCCCCCCCCTCCCCAAACAAAAGCTTCCTTCCATCCATCCATCCACCCCCCCCCCCAACAAAAAGCTTCCTTCCGTCCCTCCCCCCCCCCCAAAAAAATCTTCCTTCCGTCCGTCGCACCCCACCCAACCCTCCTTCCCTAGACCACCTCATCCTTCCCGTCAAAGTCGGACCACCTCAACTAGTGGTTTTTTTTTTCTTTGAATGGGAGGGAAGGTGAAAAGAGTCGAGAAGAAGGAGGTGGTTGGGAGGCTCGGGAGGGAGAAAGGGAGGGGTTGCGGGGGAGGTGGGGGTGGTGAGGTTCTGGCTTTGGAAGGAAGGTTTTTTTTTTTTTGGGGGGGGGGGGATGGGGAGGATAGGAAAGGGGATGGGGTTTCTGAGGGGGGTGATGGGATCTGGGTTTGGTTTATTTTTTAATTAGTTACTATTTAATTAATTTTTTTAATAAAAAGTGGGCCCCGCCTCATACCACATCAGCATTTAACAGAGGAATTGACAGACAACTGATGAAAAGTATGACATTGCTACACATTCGAAGATAAGATATGACATTGAAACTTTTTAAAAACGATACATGAAACTGTTAATGACCCAATAGTCAAGGTAGTTTTATGTAATTTACCCAAAAAACAAAAGTAACTTTAGCCAATTTCAGAAACAGTTGGTATCCTAAAAACTCAAAAGTATGGTTCAACCAGTCTTCTATCTATCCAGGATAAAATCTTACTAGATTTGGGACTTCAAAATCTTCCAAACAAATTGTTTATAAATTTGAAATCTAGCATCCGTGATTTTCTAAAATTTGGATTCTATTTTTTGATAAGAGCTAATAATATCCTAATTAATCTTGGCGTGCATGCCAAGGAAAATAATTAATCCTTACGCGTGGCGTAGACTTGTGGTTCTAATGCATTAAGTCGGCAATCGGTCCTATAAATTAAGGCTCTTCGATGCCAAATCATTCATCGTTGAAAGCAAAGGCATATAGAAGTTCTGTCTAGCTGGCTCTCGTTCTCTCTCAAGGTTTGTACATATTTCCCATCATATTCTGCAGTTTACGTTCTTCAGTATTTTTTTAGGGTTTGATTGTTTGATTCAATCAGTTATTTCCTAGAATTATTTTTTATTTTTCATTTTTTTTATGAACGCCTGAGAACATTGGAAATTTAGGACACAAGTTTTGATTAAAATTTTATATATTCGTTTGATTTGATTAGTTACTTTGCTACAATAAATTTTGTATAAATTACAGGAAAATATTGGAGGTTGTTTTGTATTCAATTTGAAAAACAAATTTTAGTTTTAACAAATGATGAATGTAAGGAGTCTTTTGTTTCGAAAACAAAGATACTGATACCAAACGGGATCTTAAGCAATTAAGGGCATTGATTTACGATTTTTTTTTTTCTGTAAACAGATGCAGATCTTTGTGAAAACCCTGACCGGAAAGACCATCACCCTCGAGGTTGAAAGCTCCGACACCATTGACAATGTCAAAGCCAAGATCCAAGACAAGGAAGGTATTCCCCCAGACCAGCAAAGGCTGATATTTGCCGGCAAGCAGCTCGAGGACGGCCGCACCCTCGCCGACTACAACATCCAGAAGGAGTCCACCCTCCACCTGGTTCTCCGTCTCCGTGGTGGTATGCAAATCTTCGTCAAGACCCTTACCGGGAAGACCATTACTTTGGAAGTGGAGAGCTCCGACACTATTGACAATGTCAAGGCTAAAATCCAGGACAAGGAGGGCATTCCTCCGGACCAGCAGAGGTTGATCTTTGCAGGTAAGCAGCTCGAGGATGGAAGGACCCTCGCCGACTACAACATCCAGAAGGAGTCCACCCTTCATCTTGTACTCCGCCTCCGCGGTGGTTTTTGAATTCGAGCTCATTGATGCTTGTCCCAGCTTCCTGGTCTGAGGAGTAGAAGTGAATCTAATGTTTTCTTTTGTGGTTGTGTATTCTCAGTAATTTGGGTTATTAATATTGCTTTCGTATGTGCTTTCTGCTGCTGCAATTTCTATTATTTTGGTACTCCTGCATTCATCTGTTTAAATTGTATGTTGAGAATATTTAACCTAGCATTTGTATGTTGGGGGATAACTTATACCTTACGTGCATGTACATTGGTGTGTTACAAAAAATTCTGTTAACGATCTCACTGATTCATTATCCAGAAAAATGCACTGAATTTGTGTGTGCATCGGTATTGTATTTGATTTTGTTGAAAATATATCGATACATTTGTCGGTCGCAATAAATATTGATGAAATATATCATATAGTGACGGTCTAGGCTAACTGTTCATTTGCAATGCAAATAACACCTCATAGCAAAATTGGTAGTCTAACTTTTCCAATGACCAGTGTAACTCTAAAAATGACTCCACCAACTTCATGATCTGTACATGACCAGTTTTGGGATGGAAGTCACAAATAAGTGAAGTACATACACTACAAGAAAAAAGGCTAATTGTCACAGAGCAAGTGCGGTTGTTGCTAGGAAAAAGGCCAATTACCACAGAGCAAATGTGGTTGTTGCTAGGGTTGTTATTGCTACAAGTGTGACAATTGCTATGCTAACAACGCCCCCCCCCCCCCCCCCCCCCAGCTGCTTCTCGCAGTGATAACTACATATGATATGAATAAACTATGAAGTACCTCATCAGCGATGTAAACTAGCTATGATCGACTTACATTGCTAGCTAGCCCTAACTGTGCAACACCATTTTAATTCCAAAATTGATCGTGGGAGTTTCTTCAAGATCTATCCATGACCAGTTGCTAGGAGTGTAGTTACCAATGGCAAGTACTCGTCCATGTTCTTTCCAGCAGATGGTTGTATAATTAGTTGGATAGTTATTCAACTTCTAATTAGGAGATTATGCTATAAGTGGCAAGGGCGTTTTTGCATGGATAATGCTAGGAATATCAAATATTAGATAAATTTTGTAAACCATATGATGTGATTATTGATTAACGTGTTTATTATCTATAGTGACACATCACATGATTTACAAATGTGGTTTAATAATTTAGTCTACGCATTACTTATTTTGCAATGGGGAGTTGTCACTGTTTATCTGTTGTATTATTTAGGCCCATTGAGCCAACACCGAAAGGCCCAGTACCATTTCCAGTCGAGACACGACCTCACCTCGTCTCATACCCCTCTCCCTCTCTCTCTCTCTCTCTGATCTCACCCTCATCTCCTTCCTCACGCTGGAATTGTGGACTCTCACTGTAATTGCAATTTGTCGTTTAAAAGGTACGAAAAGTTTCTGTATACAATTGAATTTTAAATGTGATATGATATATTTGATTGGGTTTCTTTAGGGGTCTGTCACTGTCAGTAAACTGGTTTTGCTTGTGATTTCTTGATAATTTGCGTGAGATTTGCTTGTTAATGGTGTTTTTTGTTTGGGATTTGGTTCTGTGCACTGATTCTTCATGGCATTTATGAATTTTGCTTCAATTTGGGAATTGGCATATTTTCGTAGTCGGTCGATGTATGGAGAGAATTTGGTGATTAGGGTTTAGAAAATGTTTGATGACTGAAGCTCTTGGGTAATTTGATTTATGTTGAGAGGGGTTGAAAGTTGACACATTTGGATGTGTTGACTATGGCCATAAGGAGCCTACTGACCTGCACTCAAGCTCTGTACTTGAGTCCTTCACCTGTGTGAGCTCCCTCGATTATCACCGTTGGCAAACATTAAACGTCTAGATATCCGTTAATATTTGTTGTGCTAAGGGGGTTATAGTTTGTTTTTCCGTATTGTACTATGTGTGCGTTTGGATGAGGGACTTTGAAAGTTTTATAGAACTTAGGCTAAATAGTTATGAAAGCACTACAAAAATCATGTGGATCCACTCTGAAATTGACGTGATGCTATACATTTGCAGTGCATTTGTAGTGTTCTAGTGTAGGTGCTATACATTTGTAGTGCAATTTTAGTGTTCTAGAGTAGTGTTGAAGCATTTGTGTAGTTCAGTAGTCTCTTGTAGTGCTGTTTTAAGAATAGAGCCCAATGTTCTTTGGGACTTTGAAAGTCCCTCATCTAAACATAGCATAAGGAATCGATAAGTGCATTTGGTCAGATCCATCTTCAAAAAGAAAACTTATATAAGAAAGCTCTTCCTTTAGGAAACAAGACCTTAGACTACTCTGTACACAAAGTGGAGTGATAAACTACTATCCATAGTATCTAATCTACATGTCCTATATTCAAAAGAACAATAAGGTATGTCAATATGTCGTGGAGTTACCATAACATTAATATTTACTTGAAGGTAATTAATAGCGTGTAAAAGCTGCTTTTGAAAAACAATGTCTAGAGAAAATGGCTTGTTGGTGTATAAGATTGGTGGATTGAGTTTTGGTGGGAAAATGAATGGGGTTGTGTTCACTCTTTGGGTTCTTTGCTTTTATGTTATTGGAATGTTATGGCGAAGGTGGATGGATTTATATTGATTTGTGTCATTTGGTTTGTTCTTACTACAGACATTGATGTATGTTAATGTTGTTATATTATAATTCTACTGTGTTTTCTTGCTTTTTAACTTGTTCTTATGTTTATAGTTGTGTGAAAAACATACGTTACTAATTTACTAGCCATGTAAAACAATTACGAGAAAAGAAACCATCTTAAGTGGGTATTTTGTTTCTTTTTGATAAAAAACCAAAAAATAAAAACTGTAAACAGTTACCAAACAAACTTTATGTTATTAGTGTTTTTCAAATGAAAACTAAAACTAAAATTTAAAATCAGTAAACTGAAAACAAAATGGTTATCAAACGAGGCCAAGTTGAGTTATTTTTTGTAATTTTGCACAGAAACCTTCAAACTTCTCAGTCTTAGCTTAGATCACCATGCCTCCAGTTGGCCCTCGATCTGGTGATGCAATCTTTGCTAACATTGAACGGGTGGTAAGTGAAACCCCTACGCGCCTTGTCTTTACTTTTTTTTATTTTTTCTCAGCATCCAAACATATTTAAAATCACTAATGTTTTCTTTATCCTCTTAATTTGGAAATTGAATTGGTTTCAGAATGCGGAGTTATTTACGTTGACGTATGGTGCGATTGTGCGCCAGCTGCTCACGGATCTTGAGGAGGTTGAAGAGGTTAACAAGCAGCTTGATCAAATGTAATTTTTTTATGCTCTACTTTAATTAAGTTTGTTTGTTTCTTTTTTCTCTGAGAATTATGCCTTTCTTAGAAGTTTAGTTCTAGCTTTTACATTATATGGAAGTGTGTGCTTGCGTGCATTGACAATTAACTTTTTTTCTTCTTTTTTTCGTTGTTGTAGGATTCTGTTTATGTCTGTTAATTTATATCAATCTTTGTTTTGAACTATAAATGTGTTGCAAGGAGGACAACTTTTATTTGGCAATGTGCAATGTTTGATGACCAGCAACCATAACTTTTGATATAAATGTAATTAATTTTCAGTTTAGCTGATTACACGACAATTTAATTGCATCTCAGGGGCTATAATATCGGCATTCGATTAATTGATGAGTTTCTAGCAAAGTCTAATGTATCTAGATGTGTTGACTTCAAAGAGACAGCTGAAGTAATTGCAAAGGTTTGTCATTAACGTCTGTTTCCTTTCAAATTTGAATATTCTGTGGATCTTAATTGTTCTAAAACCTGGTAAACTATTTCTTCTGTGCTGAACTTTGGTATGTGCTGCACATTTCACTTCAGTCTACCACCTGTTGCATGGAAGTTTTGAATCTTCTATTACTTCCGATAATGTTTTGAATTGTTTGGTACCAATATCTTCCACTTAATGTTGGTGGAAATTTAATTCACTTATTCTATCTTCTCCCTTCTTGGGGATGACAGCGGAGGTTTGTTAGTGAAAACCACGATTTGGATCATGGTTAATGGCTGATTGATCAAAATGCTAAATGCTGAATCCCGTCCACTGCTTGTGCAACAAAACATATTAGTAGGCCTAACAATATTGAATTTAGAATCATTAAGAAGTGGAATTAAGGTTTGTATACTGAGTTTGTTTGGGTTTGAGGCTGTCTGGCGATGGAAAAATGGTAATGGGCCAGGGTTGTGAGTACATGTATTGGCTTCCACAAGACAGTTCCTCAAGTGTTTGTTGCAATCTTTTCATGCTTCGCTAGATCGAAAAATGTTCGCTTTTTGCTGTGCTTTTTTCAATTGGCCCAAGCTTCCAGACGAAGAGATGAAGTTTTTTTTTCATCATTGCTCCATCGATATTTTTTCTACAGGTTGGTTTCAAAATGTTCTTGGGGGTCACTGCATCTGTTACAAATTGGGATGCTGATGGAACATGTTGCAGTATTGTTCTGGAGGACAATCCTCTTGTAGACTTTGTTGAGCTTCCAGATACTTGCCAAGGTCTTTACTATTGCAATATCTTAAGTGGAGTCGTAAGAGGCGCCTTAGAAATGGTGAGTTGTACCTGTAATAGTCTCTTCTACCGCACTGCTTTGACATATGCCCCCTCTGAGATTTATGGTTTTCCCTTTTTGTCACTAGAATTATGTGGCCGCTATATAACAGAAGACAATTTCTTATTCTTAACATGCCTCATTGATATTGGCTTTTATTTTGGCTTATATAGAGAATACCATAACTTTCTGCTTATGATTTCAATTTTATTTCTTCCATTTAAAATATTAGTTATGGAAGTTGTAGCTGAAAAAGCCAGCTCGCTGCTAGTGAAATCGTTATCTATCTATTTATATATTTTTTTCAAACTTGTCCTTACATAACTCTTATCATGCTTTGACTCAGCTTCAGTCGTCGTTAAGTTTTATTGTTCCTTTCTTATATCATGTATTGGTAGAAAGTTTTCCATTTTTTCTCCTACCGAATGATTTCGATTTTCTATTCCCCCATGCACTTTTACTTATAGTATCTAAGAAAACTTGTATTAACTGCTTGAGGGGAATCACCTGATTCGCAAGGCTAAAAGCACTTTCTGATGGGAATATGGGTTTTGAAGGTTCTGTTAAAACCTAAAAAAGTGAAAGGGTGGTGGAGAGTCTGTTTTGATGTCGGACATGAATTTTCTCCGTCTCTTTAATTTCTCTCGTGCCTTACAGTTACGTTGTTTCCATGGTCAGGTATCAATGAAGACTGAGATTAGTTGGATCCGTGATATGCTT